TCTAGGCTACACCCCGGGGAGTACTGACCCCTCCCCTCCCACCAGACAGCCCCCCTTCCTGACCCTGGCCCTTCAGAGCAGCTATACGGCACACAGAGAAAGCAGGGAAAGCGGACAGGACCGTGCGCAAAGTCTGGAGAGGAGCGGAAAGATGCCCCCGTGAGCACTGGCCCCCTGCTGCTGAAACACAGGAGAGAAAGCATCCCGGACTGACTGAGTACAGGACACACCATGAAATAAGGGACATCCCTTGTAATACGGGGCTGTTGGGAACTCTACCGGGGACGTTCCAGACGACTGGCCAAGAGCTAATGGGTAAATGGGATGATTCGGGTAGTTATTGCCTGTGAGTCTGACATCGATCACAGGCGAGTGACTGATTCGGGACTCGACTAATAAAGAATGCCAGGAGAGAAATGTAATTAATGCAAATTAATGTGGGTGTAGGAGAAAAGAGCCTGTCAAACTAACCTGGGATCTTTTTTGGAGGCGGTGACAAGTGTGGTTGAAGTTAACAGTGCTGATGGAATCTAGTCAGATCTCTATAACGCGTTTGACTTGGTACTGCGTGACATTTTGATTAGAAAACTAGAAAGCAATCAAATGAACACGGCCCGCATGAAATGGATTAAAAACTGGCTAACTGATAGATCTCAAAATGTAATAGCAAAGGGGGTGTTATCGTCGAGTGGGTCTGTTTCTCAAGGCCCTATGCTGTTTAACACTTTTATCAATGACCTGGAAGAAAACATCAAATCATCACTGATAACATTTGCAGATGGCACATAAATTGGGAGTAAATAATGAAGAGGGGAAGTCACTGGTACAGAGCAACACGGATCGCTTGATAAGCAGGGCACAAGCAAACAACGTTCATGTTAGCCCAGCCAAATGTAAAGAGATCCAGCCAGGAGCAAAGACAGTCGGCCGTACTCATGCCATGGCGGGCTCTGCTTTGGGAAGCAGTGACTCTGAAAAAGATTTGGGGGCCATGGTGGACAATCAGCTGGACGTGAGCTCCCAGCGCGACGCTGGGGCCCAAAGAGCGAATGCGATCCTGGGAGGGACCAACAGGGGAATCACCAGTAGGAGCAGAGAGGTGGTTTTACCTGTGGATTTGGCACTGGTGGTGCGACCGCTGCTGGGATCCTGTGGCCGTGAGGCCCAGGGCCCTAAGACCTGCCCGGCCCAGTCTGCAGGGATGGGGCGGGAGAGCTGATTAACTAGGGACTGTCCAGACAGCCCAGGGAGCGTGACGAGCTCTGCAGCGATGGATGTGAGATAAAGAGCTAGAAGGGAGGTCCGGGGATGGAGGCATAGGGAGAGGATGTGTATGGGGGCTCTCAACCCCACCCCGTGTTCAGCGGGCTCTCTGCTCTCCCTGCCCCCCAGCTCTACGAGATGTTCTCGGA